GGCGTCGGAGCGGGCGGCCGCGGGCGCCGCCGCCTCCTCCTCCATGGCTGTTTACCCGGCTGCATTGTGGGAGTTTGACCTCCGCCGCCGCCAACCGCCGCCTCAGCTTGCGCCGCCGCCGCCGCCGCCGCGCACGCCATGGGAGCCGTGACTGACGGTGAGGCCCGCTAGCAGCCACCCCGGCCTGCTCCCCCGAGCCCCTCGGCCGCCCCGGCTTCCCCCGAGCCCCCCGGCCTCCCCGGCCGCTTCCGGGAGTCCCTCGGCCTCCGCGATCAGACCCCTCGGGAGAACCGGCCTTTCCCCGACGCTTCCCCCGGGTCCTTCGGGCCTCTCCCCGGACCCCTGCTCCCCCTCGGAGCCCCTTGGACTCCCGGCCCGCTCTTAGGAGGCCGCGCTGGGCCCGCGGAGGGTGTGTTGGGAGGATGGCCGGGGGGCTGGGAGCACACGTGGGGGCCCGGGAATGGTGGCAGCGGTGCGTGGGCGGGTGGTACCGGCAAGGGGTCCAAGCCATCGGCGGATGTGGTGAGGGAGCACTTGGTGAGAATATGGGGTCCGAGGAGTGGCGAAGGGGAGGAAGTGGTGGGGACCCTGCCGCCGGGGGTCCGCAGGGCCTGTGGTGGGCTCGAGGGTGTGAGGACTTTAGGGATGGGGTGGAAGTTTGGGGCCAAGCCCGGACGAAGGGAGAGGTTCCAAGACGCGAGTGCTAAGGGTGTCAGCGTACAGAGGGTGACACCCGGAAGAGTCTTCTGGACAGGTTGGGAAGGGCCCCCAGACACTGGTGTGGATCACAGTGAGGCCTGAGAACCAGCCCCGGACTGGAGGTAGGGAGGGAGAGACGGAGATAATATCTAAAAAGCATAGATGTAGACGGGGTATCTGGAAGGCAATCAGAGAGTGTGCATGGGGGATTTAGGAGGAGCCAGTGTAGGGATGAGGCCACCTGGGGTAGATCAAGACAATAAAAGATTTGTCTATGTTATTTGTGTTGGGGATGGTGGTTTCTCGGGCAGGAATGGGAGGAGGGTCGGCAGGCGGAGACGGGGTTTGTGGAAAGTTGTGAGGATAGTTTAGGGAAGGTGGACCCATGTGTGCAGAGACCCAGGGGGTGATCTATGGACTGAGAGCAGAAATAAAATAGGGTGCCAGCTTGGGGAAGGTGGACAGGCATGATGGGCAACTGGAGGGAGAACCTAAGAAGGTATTCTGTTAAGGAAGAGGGAAGTTCTTTAACATCTGGGAAGGGGATGTCTAGGGGTGCTGTGTGATCTGAAGAGAGGGTGACCAGTAAGGGTAGATGCCTGTGGAGAGGCCACTTCTGAAAAGTTGGGGGTAGGCAGGATCTCCGCATTAAAGGGCCTGCAGTGGGAAGAAGAGTAATAGGCCTAAATTTGTGATAAACAGGTAGTGAAGTGGGAGGCTCTTAAAGGTCCAGGACCTTCATGGGAAATTCTAACTTTCCTTCATTTCAGTTTTATTTATCCTATCTAGGCTAGGTCTTGGGATTACAGTCCAGAACCAACAGGCAAGGCCTTTTCCCCCCTCTTAGGTTGCAGTCTGGTGGAAAGACACCTTGGATAATTAGTTTTAAGCGTGGCAAATGTTACCACAAGGGAAGTACAAGGGTGGGAACTGTGGGAGCATGTAGCAAAGATTGCTTATCCATTCTCAAAGAACAGCTTCCCTAAGACAGTTACTGTTAATCCCGTTTTTGAAGAATAAATAGTTGTAGTTGGACTGGTGTTCCATGTGGGGGGACCCACTTGTGCAAAGGCTCCAAAGTGTTGGAAAAACTCAAAAGATGATAAATATTGGCTAGAATTTAAAAAGTTATAGCCAGGGATTTCTGAGGGCAATGGGAATCAGTAGTTAACATTGGTGCTGTGTGATCAGAATTGCATTAAAACAAAACAAAACAACAAAAAAATACCACCATGCTGTATGTACTATGTGAAGAATGATGAGGGGAAGAGAAGGGAGGAATTAAGTGCTCTCTAACATAATAGAATTCATCATGTGTCAAGGAGTGTTCTAATTATTAACTCCACTTTACAAATGAAACTGGGACACGAGGAGGTTAAGCAACTTGCCCAAGTCTGTGCAGTTAGTAAGGTATAGAGCCTGAGCTCAAAACCAGGCAGTCTGGCCCCAGAGTTCTTGTTCCTCACTACTGTGCATTCAGCCACGGCTGCACTAGTCCTAGTAAGAGATATTGGGAGCTCAGACAAAGAGGGAATACAGAGAAGGAGGTAGGATGTCAGGACTTAAGTGGAGTGGATGTTAGAGGCCACAGGAGTACCCACTCTGCCCCTTACAAGCTGTCTGATTTTGTGCAGGTTAATTAACCTCTTTGAGCCTCTGTTTCATTCTTTATAAATGGGGATAATAATAAAGTCTATCCCATAGGGTTGTTTAGAGGTTTAAATGTAATAAAACTTATAGTGGTGTGCACTGAGTCCGACATATGGTAACGTTCAGCAAATACTATGAAATGTAAGAATTGGTTTACTCGTCTCTCCTTCATTTTCCTTTGATTAGGACTGTGCCTTCTTCATCTCTGTATTTGCAGATTGCCCTTTTTTTTTTTTTTTTTAAGATTGTATTTATTTGTTTGACAGAGACACAGCGAGAGAGGAAACACAAGCAGGGGGAGTGGGAGAGGGAGAAGCAGGCTTCCCGCATAGCAGGGAGCCCGATGTGGGGCTCGATCCCAGGACCGTGGGATCATGACCTGAGCTGAAGGCAGACTCTTAACAACTGAGGCACCCTGGTGCCCCAGATTGCCCTTTTCTGCCGTTAACTGCCTTTTATTCAAGACCCACCTCAAATATTCATCTCTTTTCCAGAACCGGTTGATCTTTCATCTATTAACCATATTATTTTGTGCATATTACTGTTGTAGCCCTTAATACTTATTTCACTTACATGACATATTCTAGAAAATATTTAAGGCAGTTCACCGTAATGTGAAAACATAAAATATAAATGCATGAGAAAACAGGGCAAAAAGAGCATTGAGAGGAAGGAAGACAAGAGGAAGTTAGAAGTGGATTGATCCTCAAAGTGCAATGGATAAAATCTGGTCCATTAATTAAGACAGCCAGAAGTGACTCTTGTTTCTCCACTAGTTCATACCAAGAGCCAGGGCCTGGTCCACTCTGCTCTTGCGTACAGGAGAGAAGGCAAGTGTAGACACACAGTACAAACAATTCTTTCCGATTAAAACACTAGAGATAAAGTTGATCTTTGGGTCCCCATAAAGAAAAGCTAGTGTCATATCCTTAACCTCTTATCAGCACCGATGATCACATCCCTGACTAGGTCAAAGAAGGCTAAATCACAATTTAGAAAGGCATCCTAAAGCCAATAGGTCATGTGGTTTAACTGAATACTTCTGCTGCTCAATACTTCTGCAATTCAGAGCAAGGTGTGTGTGTGTGTGTGTGTTTCTAATTTGTTTTAAGAATACTTAGGTCATAGAAGAGTGGATGAAGTACAACTTTTTCAGGCAGTCCTCTAAATGTGGTTTTCCTCAGCTGGGCTTTTGGTAAAAATCAAGCAGAAGTGAGTAGTGAGTATGATAGGTCAACAGTGTATTGCATACCTTCTGGGCCTAATTCAAGGCGCTGTCTACAGCAGTAAACTACCGAGGAAGACCTGACTTCTGCTTGGGGGACAGAATAGTGTGCAATCAAATAAGTAATAAGATAATTCCTGAGAAAGAACATAATTAAGTTCTGAAATTACTTAAGTTCTGAGAATGAACTGGATGGGATATGAAAGACCATAATGGGGGAGGGCTGCCAACAGTCAGATATGACCTCTCTGAAAAGTGACCCTTAGAGTAAGGCCTGAAGGCGTCAACCCCATGAAGTCCAGGAAAGGATTCAGGACAGGTTATAACTAGTGCAAAGACCTGAGGCGAAAATAAGCTCTGCCCTTCAGAGAAGATAAGGAATAAATTTAAGGAATAAGATAAGGGTTGGTCTCTAGGTGGGTCATGAGGGGTGTGATACAAAAGGAGGTCAGAGAAGTAAACAGGAGCTTGCCCAGAGCCACCTAAGCCATGGGAAGGAGACTGGATTGTCTTCTCTGGGTACTTAGATATGATTGGAGGATTTTAAGCAGAAAAATTAGTGATCCCACACTTCTTTTTGATCATTCTGTGTTGCTGTGTAGAGAATGGATTCTAGGAAGGCAAGAAGGGAAGCAGGGAGGCCAGTGAGAAGTATTCCAAGAGTCAGGGTGGGTTTGGATTAGGATAATGGCAGCAAAGAAGACAGGAGTGGCCTGAATAGCTCATCCTGAAAAGTTCTTGGAGAAGTACCAATACCTGTCTCTGGAGTTTAAAGGACAGCTAATGCCCTCTTACAAATTTGAGGTACCCGGCAAGATGCTGTGCCCTCACGTAATCCTTCCATACAGGTTTGCCTATCCATTCGGACTGGGAGCTCTAAGAGGAGAAGTGCTTTATTCCCTGCACCCTGTACAAGGACACTGGCTAATTTGAGGAACTGCCCTCCTCAGAGGGGAGGAGAGAGACATGATATTTTTAACTATGGATACTGAACTATAGATATTATCACCAACAGTACCATTTTATAGATGGCAAAATAGAGGTCCTAGGAAGTGAGTGACTTACTGTCACATAGCTAGTTCTTGGCAAAGCCGGTCTCTCTCCTCCTCTGTTGCAACCCCAGCATTTTGGCTAACTAAAAAAGTTGTTTTGTTTTTAAGATTCTACTTACTCATTTGAGAGAGAGAACACAAGCAGGGGGAGAGGGAGAAGCAGACTCCCCACGGAGCTGGGAGCCCAATGCGGGGCTCGATCCTGGGACCTGGAGCTTGTGACCTGAGCCGAAGGCAGACGCTTAACCATCTGAGCCACCCAGGCGCCCCTGAAAAACAGTTTAGATGTTGTCACTGTTAACTTAAACTATGTTCACAGTTTGTATTTTGTATGTGTTAATTTAAAGGGTGTTAAACAGTGTTAGTACCCTGATAGAAATAATTTCAGAAGCACTTTTTTTGAGAGAGAGAGAGAGAATCTTAAGCAGGCTCCACGCCTAACTCGAGCCAACACAGGGCTTAATCTCATGACCCTGAGATCATGACCTGAGCCGAGATCAAGAGTTAGGCGCTTAACCGACTGAGCCTCCC